GCCCTAAACCAAAAACCCCTATACTAAACCCCTAAACCCTAAACCTAACTTAGGTCTTAGGCTTGTTAGGGTCTGGGGCTTTGGATCTCGGTCTTTGGGTTTACTTAGGGTTTAGCGTTTAGGGTTTCGGGGTGGGATTTGCGGTTTAATTAATGAATTTTAGGGATTGGGATCCTGCACTTTGTGGTTTTAGAGTTTGAGGATTTCGGGGTTCTTTGTGACATATGTTGTATAAGGCTTGAACTCCTACAACTGTTTTTTGTTTGCACGCACTCGTATATTGATTGCATGCAGACATTCACCTTGATGGAGTTCCTTGTATAGTATGCAGATAGAATCCGCTTAAATACACTTCACAAACAATCCATGACTGTATAACCAGTTGTTGTACGTAGAGTACTAGGTTGAGTCCCGTGTTTTCGGGTTTGGTTCAGGGTAGCAGTTCTTCAGTCTTAGGGTCTTAACGATTTCGGGCTCAGGATTTGACCCTAAACCCTAAACACTAGGAAGCTGCCCCCACCCTGTAATAGTGACTATAAGGGTTATATTAGGGCCTTACTATATTCCTATTACACCACTATTACAGGGTGGGGGCCCCTTCTAACCCTAAACGCTTTAAGATCCGGGGCGCAGCTTAAGGCTGAGAAGGGCTTGAGACTGAGGTCTTCGGCCATTCGGACTGAGAGCCTTCAGGAGACTCAAACCCCAAACCCTAACCCCTAAACCCTAACCCCTGAACCCTAAACCCTAAAACCTCACCCCCTAAACCCTAAACCAAGATCGGGGTTGAGACATGCCGGGCTTGGTTTCAGGGTTTAGGGTTCATGAGTGTATTTCACCTATGTATTCATTCTGTTTTATCAGGCTCCCCTGTTCCTAACAGGTCTGCTCCACAGGAGTGTGAGTCAACTCATGAAGGGAGTACTTGGAGGTTCATGGCTAGTTATAAGTAGGGTTATAACTAGGGTAACTATCCTTATAACCCTAATTAGGGGACTTATATTCCCACTCATAACTACCCCTGAACCTCCAAGTACATCCACAAGTACACGTGCTTTTGCGAACCCTAAAGCCTAAACTAAACCGAGCTTTCCTTGTTGACGAAACCCTGGTGACAGACCTCGCTCTTCAACATCCCCGATACCTCTTGAAGGTGGTGTCAACCCATATAGGGCCCTGGTGACTTCAATAGTCGGTTGCTAGCCATAACGTGTGTAACCCAGCAGCCAATTATCTAGGGAGCTGGAGATTTAGGGATGAGCATAATAAGGATTTGCATCATGCACAGCAGGAGATTGAATCCGCCACCTGCCAGCCGGATGTGATCTCCTACAACGCGGCCATCAGTGCTTGCGAGAGATTTGTCTGATGGACGATGGAGCGGTTATGATTTCACTGCGGGGCTCGCTCTTAGACGCTAAACTCCAAACTCTATACACCCTACACCTCAAACGCAATTCCACTACAATTTCCGGCCATCAGCCCATAGGTCCTGATAAGTCGCTCCGAAGCAGCAAATGCAAGCTTCGAAGGGGCCTGAAGGAATACTTCCATCAGAATATGCCACTGCTCTACTGCTTCTTCGTCATACAATGGTGGACCCCCGAAGCCTAAACCCTGTACGCTCCAGCAGCCCAAACAACGCCAACGAGCTCCAACACTCCTGAATCCCACCCCAAGGGTCCAAGTACCCAATAATCACAAACTCTCCAAAATCCTAACCTAATAACTACTATCCTAAATCCGAGCTCCCCATGATTGGGTCCTTTGGACCCTTGCGGCAAGTTTCGCGAACTACTTAGCCGAGGAAGGGCCAGCATTGGCCCTCTGCATTGAGTCTCTTCTCGGAGATGGGTGCGCAGCAACTCCAAAGGAGCATCGTAACGTTTCCAGGAGATGGCAAACAGACTCTTTTGGTTTTGTAGGGTGTGTGCGCCTAGAAGGGGTCGTGCTTCAATAGTTTACTTGTACGTGGCTGCTGTTCCCTTGTTGATCAGAAGTTGCCGGCAAGGGGTATTGGCATCACTTCCTTGTTATTGTTACTGAGCAGTTGCTCGCATTTCCAGCCACATCCTCGTCACAACGTGCAAAGACTGACGGTCGTCGGTACATGTGTAGGTGCGTGTCGAACTCTCATCAATGGGCACTGCACGTGGGAACAGGGTAGATAAGAAGTTGGAAGGCGCTTTGCTGACTGTGTGCCCCAAGGTTGCAGCCCGGACTAGACCTGAACAGGTCGATGCAGTCCACCCGATACCCAGACTCTGTCAAACGACACGTGATGTTCTTGGATACATGTAGAACTTTGGGGTCTTACTTGTAGGTGTAAGGGTTAAGGGAGTTGGTGCGTCTGTTTTAACTAACAGGATTCGAACCCAAAACGCTGCATGTTCCCCGAAACCTAAAAAACTCTTATGCTTGGAACCTTTGCTGCGTTGCATTCGAGGTTCAGCGCGACGATCAGTGCCTGCGAGAAGCTGGGTCGTCGTTCTAGATCCCCATTCCTTGCGGTCTCAGGATTTTTGGTTTGGGGGTTCGGGGCGTTGGGATGTTTGGGGGGCATTGCCTGTAAGTTCCACTGATATTCCCGTAAGAAGGCGCTACCCCATCTCCTCTTCTCCAGTGGCAGGCAAAAAAAGGGACAGCACTCGACAAAAGAACTAACCGCAGGTCCTGGAATGCAAGCCGAGATAACCTAAACTTAGCAAGCTGAGGAAGGGCGACCAGTGGCCTGAAGCTCTGCACCTGTTGCCAGGTTGCACGCAAGTGCCTTTGTTTCGACCTTCTTGTTTTGGGGCTCTCTTCCAAGAGCCCTTAAGAAGCCGAACCTGGAACCCGAAGCTTTTGGCTCCAAACCCTCGAACGCATAAGACCCAAAAACCCAAGCCCAAAAACTCATTTACAGACCACAGGGGCTCGAAAATTTGGGCCCCCAGAAGCACATAAGCAAGAATTAGGATAGGGATGTCCCATATAAAGCCCCTTATAATGCAGTCCGATAGGGTAGGGATATCCCTGTAAAATGCTTATGCCACTTATGCCTATGTGCTTTCCGGCAACACCCAAGGTTGGCTCAACTGGACTCTGAAGGGCTTCACGCGAACACAGTGACGTACAATGCGGCCTCTCGAATGTAACTTGGAGGTTCATGGGTAGTTATAAATAGGGTTGTAACTAGGGTAACTATATGTATAGCCCCAACTAGGGGACTTATAAGCCCACTTATATAACTACCCCTGAACCTCCAAGAAGCCTCGTTTTTTGTTTTGCTCTTTTCGTGTTCTTGAGGGGGAATGGTAAGCCTTCTTCTGCCCAAGTGCTCCTTTCAATAATCCTACAGTCTGAAGTCCCTATATTCCCGAAGCCCCACCCAACCCTCAAAGTCGTCGATCTCCCCAAGGTCCCTCAAGTATAAATTGCGCCAAGTATACTACAACCCCACCTCCATCTCAAGACCTTATTCTAATTGTGAAGGCCCCTAATGCTTGGAAGGCAAAGTAAGCTCAGCAACATAGGGCCATAGGGGTCTTCATAATTAGACTAGGGTTTTGGTGTACATTATTTATCACAGTCATAATATGGAATCACCCCGAATAATAAATAGCACAAGTACTTCTTATAAGGCCCCTTTATGTGCCAGGCCCTTAGCGCCGTCGGTCGGGGCCTGGAATGGCAGAGAGCGCTGGAGATCCTGAATCTGCCGCTTGGTACTTGAGTTTAGGGGGGGTTTAAGGCTTTGGGTTGCGGGACTTCGGGCTTACCGTCGGCGCCGGAATACATGGAAATGTTATACCCCATAGTCCCTAATCAAGCATATCATGATATATCCCAAAACTCAATAAAAATCCGAGTCTAGTTCTTGGGGCACCTGTACTGGACCCAAAGGCCGGCCAACAATGATGTTAGAATTTAGCTGACGTCTACTTCAGCATCTTAGGAATTCTGATTCTAGTTTTCTGTCTAGGGCTTCGGATTTGAGCTCAGGCTAGAGTTCGCAGTCTTGAATATAGGTAGGATTTTGGGTTTAGGTTCAGGGTTTAAGCTGTGGGGTCCCAGGATTTCGGCTTGATGGCTTGTTGGGAAATCGAGCCTCCTCTATGCTATACACCAAGACCCAACTCTAATTGCTCAGGCCCCTGCCCAAAGGGTCCTATGTACTGCAATGGGGGTATACTTCCCCAAATCATAATAGTAATTGGAATAATTCCTAATATAGAGACCCTGCATTCTGCTATATAGGTTCTTTGGACCCTTTGGGCTGTACATCACTGGTTTGGCAATCCCTGCGGCCCGTGGGCCAAAAAAGTCAGATTATATGTGTGTGTATGTACCTCATACATGGGCTCTCGAAGCGAAGCCCCAAACCCTGAGAGAACCCCGTAACACCCAGCCAGAACCCTTGTGGCAACGCTTACGGCAACCCCTTTCATACATACAGAAATTCGCACATACCGACACACACACACAAACACAAACAATTAGTTATATACGTATATATATATATAGGTGCATTTATGTGTGTATATATATATATATATATATATATATGTTGACATTGGTATGATGTATATGCATACCCGCACACCCCTCTTTGCTCATCGAGATGTTGCCCCACGTTCTCTGGCTGATGTACCGAGTAGACAGCGTGGCCCGAACCTCGAACCTTATGAATAAAGGCTACATAGGATGTCAAGAAGGGAAGGAGCCATAACTTCACGACTGAGGGGTCATGAGCGATAAAGGCAACTGTAGCTATATCAAAAGTAAAACCCCAGTTAAGGCAATAATCCCACTTGTTAGGTCCCAGAATCCCGAAGCATACAAAGGTCATTGGAACGCAAGGTATTGCTTTGAGTATCCATCGCTCGGAGTACGACGATGATTGAACTAGTATTATAGACATAGATGTAGACATCCTGAGTAGGTCATAGCCGTACGCACATACGTCGTCAGGTCCATGTGTCTAGATATTTAGGTTGGCACATCTATCGAAAAACAGGATGGATGAGAGCTTTGCAAGGAAAGATGCACGCGCCTCAGCCTTCGGTTGCGTGTGGACATTTTTCAGGGGGCTTTCAAAATACTGACAGCTTGTCGTGTTGTGGAGGGCGGAGGGTAGTGTGTGGGTTTAGGGATAGTTTTTTGCTGCAAGCATCCATGCCCAGGGCAGGATGCCAGATGCAGAAACCCTAAACACCCCAATGCTTTTTGGGTGTGTTGGTGGATTTGGATGCCGCAGCTTGGAGCTTTGCACAAGATCCCCGGGTCGATGTGTTCTTCCTCCTTCTTCTTCCAAACCCTGTTGCTCGCAGGTACCTAGACCCTGCTATGTACTACTTTTTCTTGGTCAACCTATTCTATGGCTAGGACCCTAAACTAAGAAAATACAACATCCAGCAACGCTGTTATGCAGTTTGCAGTTCAGGTCGGAGGGTTTAGGGTTTAGGGCTTTATGAGTTCCTATAGAACACCCTTAGACCCTGTTCTTACACTAAAGCCTTACCTAGTCCCTGAATTTAAAATTGAAGCCTGGATGTCTCCCAGTTCTTACACCATGCACCCGCTGTCCAACCACTCGGCCGCCAAATACTCTTGCATACTGTAAACTCCGAAACCCTACGCAGTTGTAAGGAATCCTCGAACCTAAACCATAGAACTGTCGGAGTCAAGGTGATCTCCCTGAACGCTGCTATCTCGTCCTGCGAGGGTCCTGGGCGAAGCTTCGCATGCAACACACTGGGGCTTAGGTTTTAAGTGAAGGGGTGCTACAAGGGTTTTTATTTACAGAAAGGAATGCCTATCTGCGATGAGGCTTTCGAGCTTATGGTTGCAGAGTTTGGCGTTGAAGGTTGTAGGGTTCTGTGAGCTGTGGGCTTAGTAGGCTACAGCAAAACGAACTGAACCAAGGGATTAAGCGACACGGGTTCAAGCTCTGGCTCGTGGAGTTCAAGGTCTGCTTCGCAGTGTCCTACTTGGAGGTTCATGGGTAGTTATAAGTGTGGTTATAAGTAGGGTGACTATACTTATAACTCATTTTGGGGGACTTATAACCCTACCTACAACTACCCATGAACCTCCAAGTATACCCTATCCCCGCAGTGGTCTCTTGACTCCAGCAAGGCTAAAATGTGAGGGAGACCAGCGCACGTTGCTTTTACGGACATGACTAGCTCCTTCCTTCATTTCAACACTCCGCCGCCTGAGTCAAAATTAGTTCAAGTCTTTCTGGAAGGGTCCTCACTTTAAGTAGTCGCTTTTATACCATACACGCCACTGTTCGTAATCATAGCCTATGACAAAGCCCTGCCTTCTGGAGGCAACAAACCCTAAACTCACACGCGAAGCTTTAAACCCTAAGTCATTCAGAAAGGTATCCTTATGATAAAGGCCCCTAACCAAGCTTCAAGAAGTCGTTGGGGTTCGATGTCACCCCTTGAAAGCCCCATAAACTCCTTCTCTTATGCTAACGTTTGCATGGGCTCTAGACCCCAAACCCTTGCCTATGTAGCAGAGTAGGTAACCTTTGGCCTGTTTAGGGCCCGGCGATCCCTCTATGATCCCAAAGGTGAACCTTCAGTTCCTAGGTCCTAGGATACAGGACAAGCACATGACTAGACTGATTAAACAATAAACCCCCAAGCCATAAGACTCGAGCTCTGCACGCTGCACTCGAACATTTAATCAAAAGCCCCAGTCCCCAAAACCCCATTCCAATGATTAGGGCCCCTATACTTGGAGGTTCATGGGTAGTTATAAGTGGGGCTATAAGTAGGGTAACTATACGTATAACCCCAATTAGCGGACTTATAACCCTACTTATAACTACCCCTGAACCTCCAAGGATACTAAGGACCCAAAAAGGTACCATAATTTTGACAACCACCCCTATAATTTGGGGTTCGGAGGATGGCAGCTGGCCGAAGCTTTACTCCGAGAGCTCCCAGGGCAGCAGCTGCACGCGACGGCAGCGCGTCTGCCTTTTTTGGGCTTTGGGGCTTTGGATTTTGGGTTAGGTTTTGGGGGGGGGGTTAGAGTTTCGGGTTTGAGGCGTTTCTACAAGGGATGGCAAAGGACGGTGTAAAGTCGGGGTCGGAATAATGACACTAGTGGGTTTACTGCCTAGGGTTTAGGGTTCGAGGAGTTTTGGGTCTGGGGTTTACGGTTTGGTACGTTTTGGGGGGGGGGGGGGGGGGGGGATTCAGACTCCGGGTTGCTGGGGGGTTTGGGGGGTGGGGAAGCCTGATACGGTTCCAGGGTTTAAAGCCAGGTTGTTTAGGCAATGAGGGTTTAGAGTTTGAAGGTTGCGGCTTAAGGGCTTCAACATCTTAGAGAGCCTTTGGGGTGGAGGATTTTAGTGTTTGTAGGGCTTCCACACCGTAGGAGCTTTAAGATAGGCTTTCAGGGCGATAGTTTTATGCAGATGGGTTTCGTGAAGCCCACATAATGATTCATAGTTATTCCTCTGGGTTCCTGTTTTAGAGTGAGAAGTCGGATATAACACCAACAACTTGTTCTAACTCATTTTCGGAGCCCCTGTTTTGGGATTCATAGTGTTTGGTGGCATCTCTCTCTCTCTCTCTCTCTCTCTCTCTATCTCTCTTTCCCTCAACCCTACACCCCGAACTATGCTGCATCCCATAATCCCCTTAAACCCGTCAAGCCCTGAAGCCTAGACCTAAACTCCGAACCCAATAGACCCAATAAGCCCCAAGAAGCCTGAAGCTCTAAGTTCTACTTCGCAGCCTCTCTCTTTAATTTCAGGTTTCGGCGTTCGGCTCCCCACCTAATCCCATACACGCCACGGTTTACGGTATAAGGGTGGTGCGAGGTCTGGGGTTCACGATGTTCAGAGTTTAGGCCTCAAGGTGTTTTGCCCTTTCATTGCAGAAAAAGACAGCGAGAGAGAGAGAGAGAGAGAGAGATATGTGCATACATCTGTATGTATATACATATATATATATATATACACACATATATAAATTACATATGGAAGAAAGCCTGCGGTGGATCAGGGGGTGACCATGTATACATATATATGTATATATATATATATATATATATATATATATCCAATTCTATATATATATATATCTATACACACACACACTTTTTTATATTTATATAACTGAGTAAGTATAAAGGAATAGTACAGTTAGTCATTCAGAGAACTTTCGTAGGCGCTCTGCCTTACAACATTTCGACTTGACAGTTGCAAATAGCCCGAGACCCCCCAAGTAAGTAGTCAAGCCAAAGAAAGCCCCGAACATGCTCGGCCCGAGGCTCCCAAACCCGGTCAAAACGCAAATGACGGACTCTAAACCCCAAACCCCAAACCTAAAGGCCCTCCAAAAAAAGCCCTAAAGGTTCGACACGTTCCAAGGTTGTCACTTACAGCGCCGTCATCTCGGCTCTTGCAAAGGCCGGTTTGTCTGCCTTGGCTTCGGATTTAGGGTTCGGTTCTTGGGGTCTACAGTTTAAGGTCTAGCTAGGGTCCATGCAAATGCTGGGCAGGATGCATCACTGCTTCCATGCCCCCCCCCATAAACCTCTAAACTTGTGGATCCCCCCCCTCCCTCCTCCAGCTCCTAAGCCAGAAACCTCGAAACCTCTCCGAACCCGAAGCCTCTAAGGCCCCCCAAATCCTAAGCCCTCTAAACCCTTAAATCCCATCCCTGAGCCTTAAACATCCCCTGAACCCAAAACCCTAAACCCTAAACCCAACTTTGAAAAAATAACAGAACCCCATCAGATCACGAGGCAGGGCTCTGGCAGCGTGCGAAGTCTTTGCTGACAGAGATGCGCTCGCTGCAATTCGCAGGACACAGGGCTTTAAATGACTTCGGGCTCCAAGGATCAGGGAAGCTTAGTGCCTTTTTTCTTGGGTTTGAGGAGGGCTTTTCGCGTTAGGTTTTGGAGTTTCGAGGGTTAGGGCGAGGCATCGGCAGGGTACGTTGGTTGTATGAAGGAGCTGGGCTGCTTCCTAATCTTTTGCACCGCAGTAAGAAGGGTCTAGTACTGTAGCCACTTAGCTGTTTCTCCCTTTCGATTTTGGTTCGATGCTTCGTCGCCCTCTCAACCCCCGCGCTGCAAGAGGCAAACACCCCTCGGCAGCCCGTGACCAAAAGCCCTAACCTAATCCTTCCGAAAACCCAAACCCGACACCCTAAAACCCGAAACCCCGAAACCGCCTAAACCCCTTAAACCCGCTAAGCCCGAACCCTAAGCCCGAAGCCCTTATAAACCCCCTTTAAACCCTAGACCCCCTAAACCCGAGACCCTGAACCCTAAACTCTAGACCGTAAACCCTAAACCCCCTCTAAACCCTAAACCCCTTAAACCCTAAACCCTAAACATCCCTAAACTCTAGACCCCCTTAAAAAGAAAAACTCTAGACCCGTACCAGGAAACGAGGTTACCTATGCTGCTGCCATCGGCGCCTGTCAACTCGGAGGCGAATGGGAGCAGGCCGGGGCGCCCCTGTTTGAGGGTTTAGGGTTTAGAATGGCGCCCCAACACTCTCAGGGGTGTGGGGGGGCGGCATATCTACGTCTAGCATTGGAGTGCGATTCCACCACCAAACAATTACCAATTGGTTTCTGTTTCTTTCCCGCCCGCTGTGAGCTTGCACAGGCTACCACCCAAAATTTTACCTTTTAGGGTTTAGGGCTTACGCCCTCAATTCCCACCTCTGCCCGTCGCGGGGAGCAGGGGTCAGGGGAAGGGAGGGCCAAGGGGGGGCCAGGGCCCTCTTTCTCGGGGCAGGGCTTTCGTGGCCGGGTTTACTAGACTAGGTGGCCCAATGGCATGGCTCAGCCCCAGGGGCTGAATTAGACCACTCTCCAATGGCCCCACCCATTGTCCATCCCAACAAATGGTGTCAATCACTGCCGGATATCGTCCGGGTCCAGGCACCCTAAGAAAAAGGGTGGGTACGGCCTAAGCAGGCCTGGGTGGGAATTTAGGCTTGAGGGTTTAGGGTTGAGGCTTTAGGGTTTAGGGTTTAGGGTTGAGGGTTTAGGGTTTAGAGTTCAGGGTTTGGGGTTGTTTAGGGTTGCTTTGGGTTTTGGGTTTCTGCACAGGTTTATAAGATCCTGATTGGGTTTGGTGTATTATTGCGCTACATAGGGCTATAGGATGCTTATTGGGTTTTGGGTATTTAGGGCTTGAGGGTCTAGGGATTTAGGATTGTAACTTCTGGGCCGTGGTGTGTAGGATTTTACGGTTTACAGCTACAGGAGTTGGAATGTAGGATGCGGGTCTTTGGAACAGCGGAGTTGAGATTTGACGATCTGTCCTCCTACCCCAGAGAGTGTTGAGTATGTATCTGGTGGAATGTAGGGTTTCCTGATTAGGAATCAGCATTATGATTTGGGAAAGTATCTCCCCCGTCATAACGGTACTTAGGACCCTTTGGTTACCTGGTACCTGCTTTCTACAACTTGACGGCTCATACTTTTTAGGCTAGCACGAAGCTGAGCGCTGCCTTGATATAGGTCTTGGATTTCGGGACCACCTTAAGCAAAGAAAACCTACTTCTTTGTAGCCTCGTATTCTATTATGCCGGAATATGGGATGTGTAGGTATTCTTTCAATATCAAGCTAGGCTGCGGTAGATTGAGGTAAACCCGAAACCCCAAACACCTAAACCCAAGACCTCATCTTGACGGTGTGTCCTCCTACTGACTGCCGAAATCAGGAGCAACCCGAAGGGTCCTAACCACCTCTACAGTAGATCTTGTTATTGGGGCTACAAGGACAAAGACCATCGAATACAGGGTCCTCAATATCTACCAATACAATTCCCAAACCTTATTCTAGCTATTAAGGTCCCTGTTATAATTACTATGTGAGGCGTTTAAGCTATTGGAAGCCTTGCTGAGTGCCCAAAGGGTCCAACGTAAAGGGTCCTAAGGGATCCGAGGTGGTTTGGGTAAGTATCACCCCCAACAAAGGTACCTAGGACCCTTTGACCAAGACTTAGGTTTCGATCGAAAGTATAATACTAGTTGCATGGCCCCAAACTGTGGGTCTCGATTGTAAGTGTACTAAAATAGTATAGCCCGCACTTGGGGTTTCGATTCTAAAATATACGATAGTATGGCAGTCAGTCGCCTATACTAGAAATGGAATGCTCTTCCATTTGTGAAGGTCGTCATCTTCTTCCTGCAATCAGAAACAGCATCCAGCTCCCGTTTCCACCCGAAGAACCGGATCTTCTTGTGTGATACCTCGAAACATGCCTGTCTTTTCAGGCTTCTGTTAAGCGCCCATAGAGGTTACATTCTGCGTTCAGGGTTGGGTTCAGCGGCCCCATAGCCTAAACGCATTCCTGGGTTTAGGGCTGAGTTCATTTAAACCCTATAAGCCCCGAACCTCCAACCCCAAACCTAAATCCTAAACCCGACTTGGGTCGACAGCAGATCCCAATCCGAAAGGCTCTGAGCTTCCTCGATGAGCTCTCTCAGCGCCAGCGGCCCGATCGCACGGTCTACAACGCCGCACCTCAGCTTTCTTAATTTTCGGAGTGGGCTGAATGGAGGGCCCTCGCAAAATTAACAATAGGGTGTTGGTGTATTTGTGGTCTATAATAAATAATACGGGGCCGTGAACAAAACGCATTCATTAATAATAGCTCAGACCCCCTCTTGGGATCCAGGGCTACTGCTCTCGGATCGAAAAAGTAGGCTTAGGGTGCCACTGGATTACGGTTGGGGCGGTAATGCTTGGATCACGACGTAAGCTCGTGTGGCATGCAGCATGACATCAAACATCTGTCTGCATATGCACAGACTTTTGTTGTACAAACACAGATATACATATTATACACACATATATAAGTATACATACACTTAAGTATGTATATATATATATATGTACACAGACGCACTTCACGTACATGTAAACATGGAGATGTGTAGTCTGTTTGGCCTTGGCACCACCTCATCATGCAGTCATAACCAGCGGAAATCACGTTACACAGTTGGGCCTTTCCAGCAAAGCAGCTTACGAGAAGAGCATGCCGCTTGGAGCCTGAAACTTATGGCTTGGTTTGGTTTTCCTCAGGTTCTTAGCGTCATCTCCACTGCAGCGCTTTGGCAGCGGGCTGTGGGAATGCTGGGAGAGCTGAAGCCTCAGCTAACCTCTGTCTAGCCGATATATTCCCCCGAGATCTACAAAGGGTCTCCATAGAAATTCAACCCAACGATAATCAGCAATGCAGTTATCCAGTTAATTAAGACTTGAGGATTTCGGTTCCTGCGATCTTGCACACCGAAGCTTGTTTCGCGTCGCCCGGTTGACTAGTTGCTTCAGTCGTCAGACTGCTGTGAGGAGTTTTGCTGGTATCGGTCTGCTGGTTTGGTTCTGCTCCTAAAAATTTGCCCCTTGCAGTCACTATTTAATGATGTCATAATCTGTTTGTTCCAAAACCCTATAAGCTCCCCTGTCTTTAGTACTCAGACCAGGGCTACGACGTATTCTTGAAACTTTGCATTTGGCCTGTGTGAGGTTCCAGGACGCCAACCTCGCTGCCACTGGGCTGAAGGGGTTCTTGAAAAGATGAGTTCGGACTTTGCGGCTGAAGGTGTAGGGTTGCAGACCTTAGGGTTTATGGGCCGGGTTAAGAGTTGGGTGTACAGTACAGGGCATCGGGTATGGTTTCGGGGGACGAAAGGTTTGGGTAGGGTGTACTTAAGAAAGATCCCTGACCAATGAACCCCCCCTGCCCTACCTGAAAAGTGGCAAAAACATTAGGATCCTACATACGGCCCGTCAAGGAAAAGGATTCATGAGTCGGAGGTCGGCAGCGGATTCAGACTGGCCTTTGCGTATCAATTCTATATTGTATCTGCTGAGGAAGCCCACGCATCTCGGAGACTTTGTAGTACATACTGACTCAAAGCTATACGGGTCGAATCATTAGTGAACAGTGTCCCCGTACAGTCCGCACAGGAGTACATTATACCCCAATAGCCTGTTCGAACCAACGGTTCAGGGTTTAGGGTTCGAGAGGGGTCTTGCGCTGCCTAAACACCAGCTCTGATGCTACGTAAAGGCATGAAACCTAAGCCCTAGAAACCGTAATTATGGCTCCAAGCCCCATGCAAACCTTGAATCACAAACGCCATAAGCTCCAAGCGTAATCCTGTAGCATCCTTCTAGCGCCAAAGCCTTAGAGCCCCGAAGCATAAGCGCCGTCCCCGACCGCAAGGTAGACATCTTTTCCTACAGCACGGCTATCAGTGCTTGTGAGAAGCGTCAAGAGTGGGAAGTTGCTCTCGACCTCTTTCGGGAGGTGGGGCTTGATACCGGGGTTCAGGGTTCCGGGGTTCGGAGTTTCCTGTACCGGGTACTAGAATACAGAAGGCTCTGTGTATGAGGGAGAGGATTTGGGACGGGGGCTCGGGAAGTGTAGTGTTGGGGCTTTAGAGCTTATGGAGTCTAGTAGTGGGTCGGGGATAAGGAGCTTGGAGTTTTCACTCGGTAGCTGAGCGGGTTATGTTCAGCCGTCTATGCAGTAACAGAATCCTAGGCGTTCTGCCACGTTTTCAGGTGTTTGCTTCCTGGTTTAGGGCTGCGAAGTCCTGCTTCTCGGCGTGGTTTGTAGTGCTGCTGGTGGCTAGTGCGTTCTAGTCATGTCTGTTCTTTAGCATTGGCATGTTATAATAAGCTGGAGAGCCTTTGCAATGAACGTGGCTAGATTTGTTGTTGGCTTGCTGAGGCTCTCATGCTATCTGTTCCTGCTTATGAAGCGGTTCTACAGTGCTACAGCTACTGTACCCCTTTAAGGGGGTGCCAACTTCACAGTGACGTCTTAGTTCCGACTGCTGTTGTACGGCAGCCGGAAGCCGGATTTCATTCTGAAGTATCCTCCTCCTGGACGCCCACTTCATGAGTAGAGAGTAGCAGCGTTACGTCTCTTAGTGTCTTTAAACTATAGGCTTTGGAGACGTCTCGGGGGTAAAGACGAGAAGCTGCTAAGCAGCGCATGGAATTTTCACATGTACTGGGATTTTTAAACCAGTAACCATTAACCCCAATAAGACCCCTAAACCCTAAAGTACATGCTAGTAAGACTGAAACTCTGAACTCTGGACGGAAAAGGGCCCGCATAAAAACAAGTAACCTTAAACCCTACCCAAAACGCCAAGGATCCCAAGGAAGGTTCTTTCCCCCGGAAAAGTCAAAGGGCTCCACAGGACCAAGGCAGCTAGGGGATTCCCAAAGAACCTTGATATTTTCAATTTAGGGTTTTGGCTTTAGGATTGAGGGTTTAGGGGCTGGGATTTAGTCGTTAAGTTTAGGGCTTGGGGTTAAGGGTTTGGGGGAAGCCTGAATCCCACCCACGTTCATGCCACCTTCTGAAGCCCCTTATAGAGTGCCTTCTAAGTACCGAAGCTTTGTCGCTTCCTGCCAGGCCGAAGCATCTTCTCTCCAGTGTCCATGAGACGCAATTTCAGAATGGAGGATTTCTACTGTCGATGCACTTTAACAGTTAACGACTAGACTGATACGAATTGGAAAGAAAGGGCTTTCTAACAGCAATTATCCACAGATGCACTTTAAAAACTAAAGGAAAGAAAGGGCTTTCTAACAGCAATTATCCACAGATCATCCGACGCGGAAGAAGCTTAGCATTGTGTTGTAGGTTCTTCTCATGAAAGACTGTATCATGGCGCAGTTTCTGCTTAACGGCAGTCAACAGTGGGTTCTGTTCGACCTTAGTAAAGGTTCAAGGTTTAGGGCTTAGGGCTTAGGGTTCAGAATAACACCATGAAGCCATTTGGGAGTTTGCGAAGATAGGGGACCCTATTATACTACCCTGTATGGTAGGACCCTGATTATAAGGACCCCAAGATAAGGTACCCCGTGTTTTCGGAAACCACCATTTTCTCCCTTGACCAGCCCAGAAGCCTCAAATCTTCGACGCTCTTCAGTTGACGTCGTTAGAGGCTTGGGACCAACTTCCGACGTTTTTCCACTGTAGCTTTCTTATTTGGTTGCTTTGTATCTGTAGAAAAGGTTAAACAGAAAAACAGGAACTACAACGGAGACTCTAAGTACTGTAGGTAAAGGCCATAAAGGCCCCAGGCCCTCTACGATTCAAACCGGGGTCTTGACAATGATGCCCGACTAGCGATTTTGTTGTAAGTAAGTCACAGTTTTTTGGGGCTCTAGGTGGTTAAACACCTCAAGCCACACTATGTGTCATCTCCAAAATTTGAAAGATTGGGGTTCTGTTTTTCTTATGTAGTTTAAGCCAAAGGTATGCTGCAGTCCTAAGCCACAAGCCGTATGTACAGGTACCCATTAGTCACACCGTGTCGGCACACAGCTGAACCGCATAGCCAAGCAAATCCAATTAAACATACAAGGCAACACCATCACCTACAATTCTCTCCTAAGCGCCTTGGAGAGACTTGGCACGCAAGGGGAGTTAACGAGCTTTGTTCGAAACTTGACAGGTCGCAAGCCTTTCGGATTTCATTGAAAGTCACTTTGCACCGTTCTGACACGTTCAACACTTGCGGGCGACGAAGACGGGCATTAATTAAGGCCATGGTAAGCCGCTGCAGCAAGCCCGCCCAAAGTTTTACAACCGCTGTCAGGAAAGGTGAGCAATGGGAGAAGGCTCTCGTGCCACCTGGCTGATTGGGATGGAGGGGGGTGGGATGTCAGTGTTTTTCGGGGCTGTCGCCTGCTGCCCAAAAGGAGGCTGGAAAGGCCAGCAGCTGTTGCGCAATATACCCCTCCAACAACCCAGAAGCCCAGGGAGATGGGCCTGAAGGACAAAGAACATGTTCCGACAGAATTGCGGCTGCCCGTGGTTTATGAATGAATGGGAAATATCTGCCAGAGCCCGGTTTATTCTGCCCCCCCCCTCCACCAAAAACAATTTTAAATCAGAAACACTAAAAACCCTAAACCCTAAAACCCCCCAACCCCAAACGCCCTAAATCAAGGTTTCTCCAGCAGCTGCTTGCCGGGCTTGTGGAGGCCACCGTCATCACCTACAGCGCCGCGGCTCCAATAAGATCTCGGGATAGATCTACAGTTCTGCTGGATTTTTCGAAGGTGGAGAATCGTTTTGTCTTAAAAAGACGGTCTGTATAGAATTCAAGCAGACACCCGCGTAAATACCGAGTAGTCTTAACGAGTTAAACTGACAAGTTGGCCCACTGGGGTTTCTGCCCATCCGTCCGTCCGTTTGTCTGTCCGTCCGTGCGTCTGTCTGTCTGTCTGTCGGTCCGCCTGACGCCGACGACGAGACTGACTACAGACTCTGGGCCTAAACCATCACAAAGCCGAAAAGCTCCGAATGCCTGTGGGAAACCTTAAGAATACAGAGACCCAAGATCCTAGGCTCCCGATTCCTACACCTTCATCAGCCTTCATCAGCCCTCACCTAATAATGTCAACTAGACTGGGGACGGAGGTCGGCTTCTTCAGACTTCGGTGGCTTGGGGCTTAGAAAGTACGCCCTCGAATTGGGGTTCATGTGTGGCCCTTCCACAAACTCATGGCATGCGGTAAGACAGAATCAGGGCTCTACAGGACGATGGGGAGTCTCTGACTCTCAGTCTCAGTTTGCTGTCAGGTGCAGTCATCAGTGCCTGTGAGAAGGGGCAGCAGTGGCAGCAGGCAAGCGGAGGGCTCGGGCGGGTAGGGCTCACCGAGCTCCGGTTTACGGTTTAGGGCTTAGGGCAAAGATCGGGAAGGGGCTGGAAGAGCGGCCTCACATAGACTTGGTCTCTATTCACATTGGGGTCCCATGTGGCGTGGAACTTAAACCCGGAGAAGCTGAAGTATTGGATCCCTGAAGTTAAAGCGCGCACCTGCCATAAGCCTTCACTTAGGGTTTAGCAGTTTAGGGTTCAAGGTTCAGGGTATGTAGCTTCAGCTACGGAGCCCGAAGCACCATTATGTAGGATTGTAACTCATGGTTCATGCATTTCAGGCCTGCCGCACGAAGCAACTTGACCCAAACCTTTTGAATCCAATCGAGTAGCCATAACCCCTTAAGCCATAAGCCCTAAGGCTCTATAAGTCTATAAGCCCTAAAACGCTCCAACCCTGCAGGCAATGCAGCTGTTGATGACCATGGCCGCCGTCAGCCTCACCCCGAATGTCGTGACGTACACGGCCGCCATTGCGGCCTGCAGCCACTCTGCGGAATTGCTCATTCCCCATCCTGTCTGAAAACAAGTCGGGCCAAAAAAGATGTTCTCGAGACATAAATCCTAATTAACCTTGGGAGCATGGGATACAGCCGTCCCGACAACTCTAAATGGAACTTGAGAACCACACCTGAAACTCCTGAAACTCTGTATTTCCTAAAGCCCTCCACCCGTAGATGCGCGGGCCCCCAAGAAGGTCTTGTTTGCGGTTCGCGTGTATGGTCGCAGATCCCGGGAGGATTCTAAGTAACCCCTTAAAGCATCCACTACAGTACCCCATTTATTGCGGCCCTTTTGCTACCCCAAATCGTGAACTCCAAAACCTTGCTGTAATCCCTTGTGTTTCCAGTGCAGTGTAGGGCCAAGGCTGTCAGGTTCATGTCACGAAACCCTGTAAAGCTCGAGACCCTAACCCATATCCTTTATGAATTTATGAAGCTCTAAAACCCCTAGCCTGAAATCTCGAGAGTCCCGAATTCCGGCTTTACTGAGCTCCAAAACCCATTAACCGTAGGCCTATTCTCCCGCAGTTCCCGGTCCCCCAACCTCCACACCCCAACCCCCTTGGAATGAACCCTTATCCCCTCCCCCTAAACCCCGCGGCCTAACCCCAAAGCACACTTACTAGCATCCATGTCAAGACCCCCAAATCCCCACAATAAAGACCCATGGGTTTCTTAAGCAGGTTCCTATATTAATATAAGGGCCTTACTAGTTAGAATAGGGTTTTGGGGGTCCATGATACTATATACGTATAATAAGGAACCCCCAAAATATACTGCAGGTAATTCTTGCAGCCCCTAAACCCTAAACCTTAAACCCCTAAACCTTAAACCCTAAGCCCCTAAACCCTAAACCTCTAAACCCTAAACCCTAAACCATTACTTTCCATCCCTGAGGCGCTGCGCGCCGATGGGAGCTGGCGTTGAATGTCCTGGGCCAAATGCAGAGTGAGGGCCTCCGAGGCTACCGGGAATTGTTTAGGGTTCAGGGCCTTTAGGGTATATACGGCCTTTAGGGTTTAGGGTTTGGGGGGCCTTTGGGGTTTGGTTCTTGGGGTTTAAAGTTTAGGGCCGTGAGGGCCTTTAGGGTTTAGGGAGCTGTTGGGGGGAGATTTGGTGTTAAGAGTCTAGCCCTACGTAAGCCCCAATCCGTTTTGTTTTTAGGGGCGCCCTGACCTCTAAATAGCCTGCATTTTAAAAGCTCCTTTTTCGGACTTCCGTGCTTAAGTCTTGAGTCCTTGGAAAGGTAATATGGGAACCTGATTCAGAAGCCTTCGGCCTTTATTTGGGCTCCTTGTATGGATCCTAATATTTTGTTGTCAGCAGACCAGGGTTTCACCATTCCCTTAAACTTTGCGTCCCCACATAATCGTAACGGACTCATGGAGTAGTATGCTCAGAGACACAGTTACAACTTTTGGTTTTGCCACAGCTTTCCGGGCGCAGCGCTCTTGCGTGATTTACCGCGTTTGTGGAATCAACGTTCTAGCACAGGGGCGGAGGTTTTTGTAGACTACATGGTTGGGGTTCTTTGCGCTCTGTGAGTCTTCTGAGCTTGGCTCTAGATTAGATGGTCAGTGATGGCCATTTGAGCTCACCTGGGTTGACGATTCCCACGGCTCGTGCAATCGAAGCTGGGCACCTCTGTTGCTTTGTGAAGCTGTGGCGAGCGGGGCTTCAAGTGACGTTGCGTTTGCAAGTGGATGTTGTAAGCCGACGGCGAAGCCTCGACTACGGGTTGACAGTAGGGCCTTAGTCAATCAGGCAACTTCATGACTTATGACGTGGCACTCTACGCCTGCGATGTGGGAGGGCTCTGGATGCAGACCTTGCTTCTGGGCTTGGCATTACTTAAAATTGGTTGAGGATATTTTTTTCTGGGACGAGGTATAATTGTCAGTTGATTGTTTGTAGATGCAAGGTGCGTAAATCCTAGTACCATGCACACATCGCATCGCATCTCCCCTCCCCAACACAAAAGTGCAGAGGCTGCTGTTGGCAGATCTGGCGAAAGGCTCTTGCGAAGTGCTCGTTGAGCGCCAGATATCCGCCCAGGGATAAGGGCTGGTTGCATGGGTTTCCCAACTATCTTCGCGCAGGAGTCTTTTACCACGTATATTCATTTTACCGTACATACATATAAGGATATACATATGTACCTTCATACATACCTACATACATACATACATACATACAGACACGTTCGCACGTACATAGATACATGCAGTAGGAGGGCAACCTGAAGAAAGTCCCGTCAAACCCTGCGCCTTCCTTCACCCCCTTCCCCCTAAACCCTACCCATAGGCCCCATAGTACTTCCTTTTTGGGATAACCTGCTAAAGGATGCTATATATGAACCCCAAAGAGGAACTTACTTTGGGGCCTTTGGGTAAACCCAAACCCCAAACCACCCTAAACCCCAAACCCCAAACCGTCTGACCTTGGGCCGTACCCTAAGACTCCAAATAGCCCAAAGTAGGTAGTATATATAGACTTTAGACCCCAAAGTAGGCGCCCTAAACCCTAAACCCTAAACTCTATACCCTAAACCCTAAACCCTTAAACCGTGGAGTCTTAGGGGTACAACACCGGGCCTAATCGACCGTCGGGCTCCATGAAGCCTTGTTCTGCGAGCGGGCGCGCGGGCGGAGAAAAAGGAAGCTCTTTAGGTTGTCTGCCACCTTCCTTTAACCTGGAATAACCTACTACTACGATAACCTACTACCTGTTTAAGGACAAAAAAAGGATATCATAAAAAGGAACTCCCAAAAAGGTAGGGTTTAAGGACACAAAAAAGGATATCATAAAAAGAAACTCCCAAAAAGGTAGGTTATTGAGGGTTCAGGTCGGGTTTGTGGAAGTCCGGGGCTTAGGGGGGGTTCAAGGCTTTAGGATGTGGAAGCCCTAAGCCGCTTAGGGTTGTTCGGTCTTTGCAATGCGGGAGTTTCCGAAAATTAGGGTTTAGGGTTTAGGGGTACCTTATTTTGGGGTTCTTAATCAGGATCTTACCATTGAGGATACTATATATATATATATATATATATATATATTAGGGTCACCTGTTTTCGGAAACTCCCATGTGAGCTGCGGTCGCTGTTCTTGTTTGACAAACCCAGAGTCCCAAACCGGCCTCAACCAAAACTTCATCGTAGTCGGGACATGAATAGATGCGGGCCTGAAGAAGTGCTAATTTATTCCCAGGATTCCTTCTTCCCGTGATCACATCATAATGAGGACCCTTTTTAAATGACCCTAGACCCTTGTCGAACAAATTAAGGCCGCCAATGGGATGCTGCAGGATCTATGTTTTGTTTCGTCTCAGGAGGTCTTTGGTGCTTCTGGGCTTTTTCCTGTAAGCTGCAGTTTAGAATTCAGGGCCCAGGGATCCCTAAACCCAAACCCGGCTTTTCGGATTTCTGAGTTTGGGATTTGGGTTGGGGGTGTTGCAGATTGAGGCGGTGGAGAGAGCTCGAGCTTTGGAGGGCATATAGGTGGGGATTTAGGGGTTTTGGTGTTTAGGGGTTGAGGGCTTTGGGATTGAGGGCTTCGGGGCTTTAGGGTTTGGGGCTTTGGGGGTTTAGGGTCAGACACGGCTGACGCGGCCTTGCCAGGAAGCGGGGGCATCGGCCAAAGCCGCAAAGCACTGATGGAGGACGCCTTAGACGAGGGTGGTTCGTCTTTCCAGAAAATTGGGCATTAATAGTTAGTGAAACTGTTGCTTGGGTTCCTATCATGAGTATTTGTATAATACTCCCCAACATGAGGCAATACTGATTCCTGCTAGTATTCTATAGGTACAGTATAGTATCACGCACACCGAAGCTGTTGCGACTGCCAGAAACTATCGTGGCCTTAGCAAAAAGGGAAATCGTAGCTACAAGCTGTCAGACCAGGAAGGTCTCCCCTAAGCAGCATTAGTGTGCAAGCGGTCATCGTCGCTGAGCGATCTGAAGCATTCAGTTGAATCCGTTGTGGCCTTAAACTCGTCTTGCGGGCAGTTAGACGTCAACAAATCTCGACGACCCTTTGTTCTCGTTGGTGCTGCTGCTATCGTTCTGCGCTGCAAACAATCACAATACTCGGCGGCATGGGTTGTTTTTGGCAAACGTTTCATAGCTATAGTGCTGCGTAAACCACATAGCAGCTTAATGTAAGAACTTCGAACATCTTCCTGAAGTGTTTCATCTCGAAGACAATGTAAGCTAGCAGCTCGGTGTTCTCAGTAGTTTCGATACCGTAAGGCATAAACATCGGCCGAAGCGAATACTAGTCTTGGATCCACTATGTCACTGTGGGGGGGGGGGGAATCAGAAGAAAAACGATCAGCTATCTAGTTTCAACTTTATAGGACTATGTTTATTGGGTTCCGGGTTTGAGTCTTAATACGCAGGACACTACATCTCCAAGATCATTGGAACTGAAGAGTTTTTCCAGCCGCTGCAAAACGCGCGTGCTCGAGCAGAGCAGTATCTGCAGTACGAAGAAGCAGGGGAGCACATATGAGTAAGCAACATCATTTGATGACCAAGCTTCGCGTTTCCTTTTCTTTTCTCATAGCAATGTACCATATGCGCTCACCAACTTGAAGCCGCTTGTGAGCGGATCAACTATAGAAGGGCCTGCCAGTACAAGATGGTGTTCGGCACAATTGGTAATATCATTATTCCTCAGGGTTCCCTTTTCTAATTTCCAACTATACTCCAAAGAGCCTCGGTGTTCAGAGTTTGCGAGCGTACATGGCTGCAGGGTGTAGGGTTCATGGGCACCAGAGTTTAACTATGTTTAGGGACTGTTCAGGGTGTTGTTGGATGCCACTGCGTGAAGATGACATAATCGCAGGAAAGCTGTCTCTCTCCTCTGCCCGCAGTATGGCTGGAGGCCATACCGTAGGAATCTGCAGAATCTCTTAAATTTATAGCTGCCTTATGCGGCCGTGTGAAGCCGCACTTGTCATGTCGATTCCATCAACCCAGATTCTTCGCGATCTGGACTTCCGCAAGTGACCAGAGCTCTTACAACATCCCAGAACCTGCACGCTTTCGGTGCTCATGTTCACTACTTGAACGATCTGGCGAATTATACAGAGTTGAAGTGGTGCTATGCTGCATCAGGAGAAGATGGTAGTTGCGCCAGGAGAAGGGTAGTGCTACTCGTACTGCTTGCGTTGCAGCACGGCTATTGGCGGCAGCAGCAGCAGCAGCAGCAGCAGCAGTAGTACGTAGTAGTAGCAGGTAGCAGCAGTTGTCAGCAGTCGTCGTTGTCGTTGTCTCTGTCGTCGCTGCTGTAGTAGCAGTAGCGCTAGCAGTGGCAGTAGCAAGTAGCAAATAGCAAGTAGCCAGTAGCAAGTAGCAAGTAGCAGCACAGTAGCAGTAGCAGTAGCAGTAGCAGTAGCAGTAGCAGTAGCAGTAGCAGTAGCAGTAGAAGAATAGTAGAAGAAGTAGTAGTAGGGTAGCAGCAGTAGTAGTAGTAGTAGTAGTAGTCGTCGGCGGCGGCGTCGTCGTTGTAAAGGAACTTGTGTGTACAATGAGCAAAGAATAATTACATACATGGTATCCGTGTTATGTTCTATGCAGTTTTATCTTCGCGGTAGCCACGCGATGATTTCGACAACGGCAGCGGTGGCGACCAGCACGACGCTCGCTACACAACAATCAAGTGCTGCACCATTGGTCACACTGTCAGTCTTACGAGTGACATGACCCATCCGAGCATAAGATCAAGTCGACAACATGCGTGCGTGGGCTTCTCACAGCCATTGGGGCAGCGTCGTTTGACCTGCCTTAGCTCTTTCGTGCTGGCCGAACTTTGGTCGTTTGTTCAGTTCTGAAGGTTTTGAGACATTGAGGATCTACAGCGCAAGGTATTTCATAACCGCGAATTCTGTCACCCGCACACAACAGTAAGCAAACCAGGAGCAGAGTACGTTGAAGCATGTGTACACTGTCCAAATTTGCGCATTCTGTCTCTTTATGAATTATGTATCCATCCATCCGTCCGTCTGTCCATCCATCTATATCCACCCACCTAATCTATCTATCTGACCCATGCGTCACATAGATGTAAACTAAGAGAGCTTTTGGACATCCAGACTAGACACCGCTGCGTTTAACTCCCGCCACCACTGCCACCCTCCATTCCTGGACGGTTTGAGGCTTAAGAACCCGTTACTGTTTTGGGCTTGGGATGTGGGGCTTTAGGGTTTCACACTCACACGAAGAGGATGCTAAAAAGGGTTTGCGGCTACTGGTTTATAGGGCTTTGGGGTCTCAACATCAAGCTTGAAACTTGACTTGTTGACTTCGGCACCTTCAGGGAACACGGGTTGGAACAAACAGCCTGTTCATCTGGGAGTTAGTGTTCGATGAGCATGTTAGAGCTGAGGTGAAGGAATCTCAGAACTCAGAACCATTAAGCCATGACTAGAAGCCCAGTAGAGCGTTGAGGGTTTAAGGTGTGTATTAGCTTTGGTAGTATAGCGACCTAGTATGCCGAAACGTTGGGCTTCTAGGGCATGACTTTTGCTCATGAAGCGCGGTGAAAAGCCAATGTATGGACCACAGGTGTTGGCACATGCCCTTGAAGCAGATGTAAAGCCGAGGCTCCAACCCAGATGGCAAAGTCCAGCACCCTAGTTTCCAGATGTCACGGGGGGAGTATGGGGCTTATGGCATCTAGCTGTAAGGGTTTAGGCTTTTCGGTTGTAATCTCATGTGAAAAGCCTATGAGCCGTAAATGTAAGGATTCTCTCAAGCATGTTTTCCTGCTGCGGCATGTTTGGGCCATCCCATGGCAACGGATATGCTAACTAAGCTACGGCTGATGAAATAAACCCTGCATTACCCAAAATAAGGAATATAGAATAATTTCCATACTTCAGGGTCCTTAAGGTAATGCAGGATTTATATCATCAACCGTAGCGGTCTAGGTTTAGGGCGTCGGGTCCCCGAAATCTTCGGAATCCATCGGAAGCCCTGACCCTACAGCGCCTCAACCCCGGATCTACAAGTCTATACCATCTAAATCTATACCACCAAGGCGGTACAACAATCCTTCTCCGAAAT